CCCCCTCTAGTCTGTCTGCCTTCTTCTTCATCCCTCTCCTGTCCTGATGTTGCCTAATGTCCTATCCCTCCCCGCAGCTCCTGGCAGTAGACAGGTGGACCCTGTGGTTTGCCCTCCTAAAACCTATCGAAACCAGGGCTTGTCATACACTACGACATATAAGATGTACATTGTGATCCCCCCAAATGCCTGGTTACATATGATGTTATGCTGTTACTGTCTGCCCTTGGCCAATTAAGAGATTGGGGCTAGACGATATCGCTATACTCGCTAAGATTGTATATGTACATCCTCATTCTTCGATTGTGTATGTGTTGTATGTTTACTGTAAAATGTTGGCTCAAAATAAAGAATAAAAAAAAAAACTGATATAAACTAGACACAGTGATCACCTGGAGAGAGTGTCGTAAGCTTTTTGGACTACAGGGGTCTGTATCCCCACTTATGCCGATGACCTCGACCCCCGGGATTTCCGCGAGGTGCCTCCTCTAAAATATTCTCACTATGGACACTCCTCCAACATCGCCTCAGGTTACATGTCTCTCTTTTCCTTCACTCCAACAAAAATAGGGGATCCCCCTCCCCCCACTCATTGCCTCAGATTAGTAATTTTATTCTTCAACCCTCGCCCATCAAACTAGCACTATCACTAGTACTAGTATGATACATCCATCTCCTGACCCCACGCACAGCGGCGTAACAATCACCATAGCGACCCAGGCGGCCGCCATGGGGCCCCGGCCAGGCCCTGATGCCGTGCGGGTGCCGCCTGGGTCGCTATGGCATCTGACTCGGACTGCCGGCTGTCACTGGCGGCCGCGAGGAGGAGCTCACAGCCGCTGCTGGAGTCGGTGACAACCAGCAGCTTCGCAGGAGGTCCCGGCGGCGATGGAGAAGGAGGCGGGGCCCAGTGACGGAGGAGTCGATGGTGGAGGAGAAGGAGGCGGGACAGAGGATCGGGGCTGACAGGTAAGAGGGCTTGACCGCCCGCCTGAGACCCTGCAGAGCCCACCACGGATGTAAAGTTACAATTTGTGAGCAAATGGCGGGAGATCCGGTTTCAATATTGTACCCAAGCGCCCGCAAGACCAAAATGGCTTCACTGCCTGCCCCAAATGTAAGGCGCACTTGTTATAGGATTACGGGTACACATGCGCAATGTTACTAGAGGAGTAACCCCCACCAATTGGGGGAGGGGGGTTAAAGTTACAACTAGCGCCTCATTACTAGTACTTCATTACATGCTCCCGAAATAAAATATTATTCGCATCTTTTGGACCATCGTTCACCAGCAGCCGTCTGCGTCTGCGTCTGCGTCCTCTCACACGAAACACTCCTTTACTCTAGACCAGCGGTTCTCAACCTGTGTAACCCGAGGACCCACATTCGTCCTTAGTCATTAAAGGAGAAGTACGGGGGGAGGGGCTTTCCCCCCATAGTTCTCCTCAGGGTCGGGGGAGGGACACAAACTAGCGTCCTCCCGTCACCCGAGGCTCGGCATATAGGGAGCCGCTGCTCGCGGTATACTGAGACCGCCAGCAGCCGGAGCGGATCCCGACATTAGAGATCCGCCCAGCTGCGTGAGTGACAGCTGGCTCCGCCTATCTAGAGGCTGTCCCCGCCCCCTCCCCTGTCCGTTCCGCCAGTCAGCGCTGGAGGATCGGAGCGGGGAGGGGGGAATCCAGCCCCTCCCCCTGTCGCGGCAGAGAGCCGCGAGAGGTGAGCGAACGCCGGTATGTGTTCCCGATCTACTGAGCCGACCTGCGACAGTCTCATTGTCACAGGTCGCCCCGAACTATGAGGTGAGTGACAAGCCCCTCCCCCCTCATGGTTCCCCTTTAATTCCCAAAGTTTCTTCTTCTCTATACTCGAATCACAACGCATATATGAGGTAACTTGTTCCAGACACATTTGATGATCGATATGCTGCTGAGTTCTGCGCAACTCCGGTCCAATGTGTTGTAGATTTTTATGTCATCTGACTTATTGTCCCAAATGTTTCTCTTACTGTATATCTTATATTCTTCAACAATAAACGTTTATGCTAAAAAAGAGGAAATCTCAGATTGGTGTCCTTGTGATCGTGCAAAATTGTCTCCCTAAGTCCTCCCCCGTAGTTCTATGTTGTCCCTAACTCCTCCCCCATAGTTCTATGTTGTCCCTAAGTCCTCCCCCGTAGTTCTATGTTGTCCCTAAGTCCTCCCCCGTAGTTCTATGTTGTCCCTAAGTCCTCCCCCGTAGTTCTATGTTGTCCCTAAGTCCTCCCCCGTAGTTCTATGTTGTCCCTAAGTCCTCCCCCGTAGTTCTATGTTGTCCCTAAGTCCTCCCCCGTAGTTCTATGTTGTCCCTAAGTCCTCCCCCGTAGTTCTATGTTGTCCCTAAGTCCTCCCCCGTAGTTCTATGTTGTCCCTAAGTCCTCCCCCGTAGTTCTATGTTGTCCCTAAGTCCTCCCCCGTAGTTCTATGTTGTCCCTAAGTCCTCCCCCGTAGTTCTATGTTGTCCCTAAGTCCTCCCCCGTAGTTCTATGTTGTCCCTAAGTCCTCCCCCGTAGTTCTATGTTGTCCCTAAGTCCTCCCCCGTAGTTCTATGTTGTCCCTAAGTCCTCCCCCGTAGTTCTATGTTGTCCCTAAGTCCTCCCCCGTAGTTCTATGTTGTCCCTAAGTCCTCCCCCGTAGTTCTATGTTGTCCCTAAGTCCTCCCCCGTAGTTCTATGTTGTCCCTAAGTCCTCCCCCGTAGTTCTATGTTGTCCCTAAGTCCTCCCCCGTAGTTCTATGTTGTCCCTAAGTCCTCCCCCGTAGTTCTATGTTGTCCCTAAGTCCTCCCCCGTAGTTCTATGTTGTCCCTAAGTCCTCCCCCGTAGTTCTATGTTGTCCCTAAGTCCTCCCCCGTAGTTCTATGTTGTCCCTAAGTCCTCCCCCGTAGTTCTATGTTGTCCCTAAGTCCTCCCCCGTAGTTCTATGTTGTCCCTAAGTCCTCCCCCGTAGTTCTATGTTGTCCCTAAGTCCTCCCCCGTAGTTCTATGTTGTCCCTACTTTCCTCGGCGGTTCAGTTTTCTGGTCTCCTCTTGGAGGACGATGAGCTGTTCTCCGTCTCCTCCCGATGTACATGACTGGAGCGGATCGTATTATGGTCATGTGACTCCTCTGGATGTCCATTGTTGGTAAGATCTGCCCGGGATTGGATGGAACTTCTCAACAACCTCCGAGGTGTCCTTCTGATAGACTGTGTGCCGACACCACCGAGATTGGGAGGTGTGGAGATCTCATCTCACCTTCATACGTTTACATGTTCTCCTCATCCAGGTCCTACCATCATTGCTGAGACTGAGGAGGCCGAACATCGCCTCCTGATCCAGGATCCACCATCATCTCCTGATCCAGGTTCTACCATCGCCTCCTGATCCAGGTTCTACCATCGCCTCCTGGTCCAGGTTCTACCATCGCCTCCTGATCCCGGATCTACCATCACCTCCTGATCCAGGTTCCACCATCGCCTCCTGGTCCAGGTTCTATCACCGTCTCCTGATCCAGGTTCTACCATCGCCTCCTGGTCCAGGTTCTACCATCGCCTCCTGATCCCGGTTCTACCATCGCCTCCTGATCCCGGTTCTACCATCGCCTTCTGGTCCAGGTTCTACCATCGCCTTCTGGTCCAGGTTCTACCATCGCCTCCTGATCCAGGTTCTACCATCGCCTCCTGATCCAGGTTCTACCATCGCCTCCTGATCCCGGTTCTACCATCGCCTCCTGATCCAGGTTCTACCATCGCCTCCTGATCCAGGATCTACCATCTCCTCCTGATCCAGGATCTACCATCGCCTCCTGATCCAGGTTCTACCATCGCCTCCTGATCCAGGATCTACCATCGCCTCCTGATCCATGTTCTACCATCACCTCCTGATCCAGGATCTACCATCGCCTCCTGATCCAGGTTCTACCATCGCCTCCTGATCCAGGATCTACCATCGCCTCCTGATCCAGGATATACCATCGCCTCCTGATCCAGGATCTACCATCGCCTCCTGATCTAGGTTCTACCATCGCCTCCTGATCCAGGATCTACCATCGCCTCCTGATCCAGGTTCTACCATCGCCTCCTGATCCAGGTTCAACCAAATGAGGCAGAACACCCCGGGCACGTCTATGTCTCCATATGATAAGAGGTCACAATCTGCAGACCCTCATAGTATGAGGACTTATTATATACCACATACAGGTCTGATGTCTATTCCTCTGAGGAGGTAGAAGGTGTCTTCTGGATGGGGTGTGTTTGGTGTCTCATGGATCGGTATTCTCTTATACATCGGGGTAGTCACTTTTCAGGAAGGTCACCCCGATACTGCCGTAGATCTAGAATATGGAGGAAAGCTGAGAGTTCGAGATGTATCAATGTTTTAGCTCTGGGTCACTTGGAGGGGTCTATGGAGGTCACTTGAAGGAGTCTAGGGGGTCACTTGGAGGGGTCTATGGAGGTCTCTTGGAGGGGTCTATGAAGGT